TGGTCATTTCACGTGTTGCACGTGCGCGCTCTTGCAAGCACGTGCGCGCAAAATGACCTTCGTTCCGCAAATCTACATAACATGCCTACTTACCCTAAAAAGGTTTCCCGTTAATCGGATGTGTACTTTACAAGATCATTCGCGGACAAAATTTTCCCGAGAAGAAAAATAATAATAATAATAATAATAATAAGAAACAGAGTAAAAACAATATGTTCCCCAACTTCGTTTGGGGAACATAACTAGTGCTAATTGTAACGGGAACCGTTACAGATGTTCCCCAAACGCTCCCCAACTCCCTTTTCGTGCCATATTCCCTGTAAGCCTTATAAATTAAGACAACATCTGTGCATTTTTGACTTTAACAACGTTACCTATAAGGATACGAATTATATTCAAATTTCAACATTGCACGCGTGCCCATGTGAATGCACGTGCACAATGATCATATAATCTTGTCTACACTTTCTATATGAGTTGCGTCAAGCGAAAAGGGACCTTCGTGACAAAATTTTCGAAAATCGTTTTTTCACCGATTCTGAAAGAGCTAGTTTTTCTGAATATTTTGAAACCAAATTTTTTATTGTATACCTTCTGAATTCTAATCAAAACTCAAACTGAAAGCAATGCAATTTTAAAAAGATAACGCTATTAAACGTTGAATAACGTCGCATAACGTCATTGATATTTGGAACGTTATTGTTACTAAATAACCCTTTTGTATTCGTTAGAAATAATTTTTTTTTTACATGTATTTAAGGTTTTAAGTGCCCCCCCCCCCAATTTTAGCTTCTATATGATCGTATACATTATAAAATAGCGATAGGTCTGTTGGGGAAAAACGACATTTTTTTTCTATATGTAGACCAAAATTGAAATGAAAGAGTAAGTTGTACATTTTCAAAGAATATATTCAACGACATCATTTAATCTTTCTACAACATGAATATAAGCATGATTTAATCTCTGAAAAATTGGTATTTGAAAGGATCCTTCACAAGGGGATAGATCGCTGACCATGTGTACAAATCCAAACAAGTTCCTACTCTGAAGTTATCTCGCAAGGCATTCGTAACAACTCGGAAATTTTCTAAGGAAGAAATAACTTATGTTCGTGAACAGAAATGACCGAGTATTTACGATTGCTTGCAAGGGACTAAAATGAATACTTATGTTCATGTAGTAAGGTCGTATGGATAAATCCCGCTCAAAGTACTGTTTTTTCCCTTTCGCCATATCAGCAGACTTACCTCCACAAAACAAACGCTTATATACCCAGTACCTACATGTATATGTATTTTTTTTTTATTCTTTTGGAAATGACAGTTATACTTCCCTGAACAATTGTTTTTTTTTTAGGGGTAGGGGGGTGCAGCTTTCAGGCATTGATATAATTTTTTTTCTACATATCAATTATATCACACTTCTATCAAAATCGATGTCCTTTTATTTTATTTCAATTGATAATTATATTGAAATGTGGAAAATTCTACAATTCAAATTAGATTAAACGTGTTTGCCCCCCCCCCTTCTAACGATGTTGCTTGCCTATATGATCGGTGATTTAAAATGCTAAAATTGAATAAAATATACCGGTACACATTGTATCAATTTTTATGACTTTACTATATATCAGTGTAAGAAATAATTTTTTTGTACATTGGGGAAACGGGGGGGTAGGCCTTCCTTTAAAAAACGAGCTTGGCACGTTGTACTTCCCATGGAACAAAGACACGTTACATCGCTTGCAATTGTTTAAATTTTGTGTAAGATAAATATCGTATGTTGTACAATTTTGTAAAAAGAAAATCTTGTATTTTATTCTCATGTCAAAAATATTATGGAATTGAATTTGATCAGCACTAAAATATACCGATAGAAATATTTAAGTTATGTAGATATCTAGGATTGATCATATGCAAAAGAATTAGTCGGACAACAATAAAAGTAAGACGTTAAATTCACACTTTCAGAATATACTAAAATCGTTAATATATAATTCACACACGTGAAAGCTTTTCTTCTGTGCCACCCATTCAGTTAGTACGTTGATTCATGCAATATTTTATTGACCACGTCAATGGTATCGGATGACATTCTTACTGTACAATATAAACATTTGAAACACAGTTATACATACTATACATGTAATTAATCAGTTTAATTCATATTCAGCTGTATCAAAGAGAACAAGAAAATATATGTTTTAATGGTATGGGATGCATGGGTCTCATCCCCCGAAAATCCAAATAATATAATCTACCTATACACGCTGCCATCGGAAGAAATTTCTTAAGATTTATTCTCAGCATTATTTTGTAATACATGTAGATAACTCATTATGCATTAGTTGTACAATCGGCAATCCTCGGCTGACTCTGCTTCACTCTATTCAAACACTTAATCCGAATGAAATCACCCCCCGCCCCGCCCCCCCCCCCCAAAAAAAAAAGAAAAGAAAAGAAAGATAACAAGAAAGGAAAAGAAAGAAAAAATTACGAATTAATGATGATTATTGGATATTATTTACAAAAAAAAATTTTTTTTAAATCCAACATCTTATTCATGGACAGGTTGTAACAGGATCATACATAATTGAAATATATCTATATAGAATGCATATATTTTAAAATCATATGCAGTAAGCAGACACATAGAAAGAATCTTCACTTGTTGGAAAGGGCTTTATAAAAATACGTTAATTTTCAGTATGAGATGAAAAAAGGAGTCATCAGACAATATTATTAAGAGGTCACAACATGCACGAGCGTAACTAATCTGATTTCACAATCGCAGTGTAAATTGAGATATACATGTAGGTCTATGGCAACATCAACAAAGGGGTCTTCTGCATATACATCTACAGTGTGTGAAAAAGAAAACGGAACTATTGAGATATTGCTTTAATACCAGAATAATTAACTCTTCTCTTGACTGACCATGTGAATTACAAGATAACTAATGATCCGGCACTTAATTAAATGATCAAATATAGGAACGATCTTTTTTAGAGAAAGGGGTGCATGTGCCATTGAATTTTCAAAGTGTTTATGGTCAAAATAAAAAAAAAATCATAGTAAATTAATACGTAAAAACGAAAACGAGCAAGCAAAATTGAAACAAAAAAAAAATTAATTAGAAATTTAAAAAAAATTACGGAAATCAAGATCAAGAGAATAACGAAACAAATATCGGAATCCTTGAAAGCCCCCCTTTCCATAGTAACATAAAATGAACATAAGCACATTAAAAAAAAAGTGCGCGCGCGAGGATGTTAGGGTGTGGGTTGATATTGGGGAGGAGGGGGGTAATCTAACCATTTAATTATACGATATAATGCAAGATTATAAGCTCAATTCAAAATGTTTGGAACAACTGTATTTGCCTTCAATAAAATTAGTAAACGTCAAACTAGAAAATAAAACTAATGTACATTAATCTGATTTTAAATCATCGCTTTTATTTTCGACTTTGAAGTTAAACATAAACATCATCAGTTTAAACCAAAGTTAACGTGTTAACATGTTTAGTTTTAATTTATTTCAATAAATTTAGGCAATGAATATTATAAGACCTCCAATTAGTTTTGAAAATGACCACTGTTGATTATTTTCACATTTTATTACGTCAGCTTTTCAAACCTCAGACTGTTGCGCCAAAGGTGATGGTGCTGATGAGAAGATACAGAAGTCCGTACCGCTTTCGCCGCTTCATCCTTTATGAAATTTCAACAGACAGTTTTCCAGCAGCTGCATTCATGTTTTTCCTACTATATGTATTGACAAAACGCTATTGCAACAATGCTAGTATCAGTTAAATTGATTCGATTACTTAATCTCTGATAACAAACTTTGGGCATTGAGTCGCTAATTCTCGGGCCTTTCTGACTAACGGAGAAACAACAAAGAATGTGTATGGAATATGTAATCCCCATCCCCACACCAAATTAAAAAAAAAAAACAAAAAACATTGAAATAAATGTAGGAGACAACTTATCTGTAGTGTCTGGGGCTCAGCCGGAAAGGCCAAAGACGCGATTGTCTTCAAAGATTACTGAGGTAAACACGTACATGAATTTATTCAGCCATTTTTCACTTCTCATGAGTAAGGCCATTCATGAACTATCAAAATTAAATTAGGTAATAAACTATTTTGGAAATATTACCTGTAAATCTATAAATTTACGACATTAATTACAATTTTTTCGGACAGTTATAGGCGTGTCTTTTTTTTACATTTGTATTACGCAAATAAAGTTTTGTCTTGCTTTATCGTATAATTTTTTTTTATTGACAAAACGCACCGGCGCGACGTCACATCTTTGAAGCGCTATTGTGACGTAATTACGTTTATGTCACGAAGGTCCCTTTCCGCTTGACGCAACTCATATATTTAAATATACTTTATATTAAAGCATTTAATCCAAAAGTATTAAAAATCACTCATTGAAGTGTATTTTTAATTTCACTCGTTCCAAATGCACGCACGTGCGTGCACGTGCATGATGACCATACCTTCTTGTTAGAGGCCCTTATATCTATCTATGTTCTAAATCCCATCCTGTTTGGTTGAAAACCAAGGGAATTATAGCCATTTCAAGTTTCAGCCAATCAGATTGCAGCACACGTGCATCCACGTGATTTCAAGAATTTTTTTCTAAATCATATCGTAGAATATCCTAATGCATGACTATGTTTTAAATTTCAAAGCATTTCATCAAAAATCAAAGAAGATATAGCCATTTAAAGTTTCAGCCAATCAGATTGCAGCACACGTGCATGCGCGTGATTTCTTGAATTTTTTTGTATATCATATTGCAGGATGATCTAATGCATGACTATGTTTTAAATTTCAAAGCATTTCGTCAAAAAACAAAGGAGATATAGCCATTTAAAGTTTCAGCCAATCAGATTGCAGCGCACGTGCATGCGCGTGATTTCATGAAAATTTTTCCAAATTATTTTATAGGATATCCTAATTCATGACAATGTTAAAAATTGGCTGATCTGAAATATAAATATATGGAAGACGTAGAATATGCTAAATCTTTGAGCAAAAACAAATTGGCACCACCCCACACCTTGAATTTGCAGAACCCTCCAGCTTCATGTGAAGAGGAGCCTACCACTAGTGATAAGCAAGGACAAGAGAGGGCACCACCCCACACCTTGAGTACACATTGTGGTCCACCTTCATTGGAAGAAGAGCCTACCACAAGTGATAAGTCGGGACAAGTGAAGGCACCACCCCACACCTTGAATTTGCAGAACCCTCCAGCTTCATGTGAAGAGGTGCCTACCACAAGTGATAAGCAAGGACAAGAGAGGGTACCACCCCACACCTTGAGTTTACAGAGCCCTTTAGCTTCACATGAAGACGTGCCCACCACAAGTGATAAGTCAGGACAAGAGAGGGCACCACCCCACACCTTGAGTTTACAGAGCCCTTTAGCTTCACATGAAGACGTGCCCACCACAAGTGATAAGTCAGGACAAGAGAGGGCACCAACCCACACCTTGAGTACACAGAGCGGTCCAGCTTCATGTGAAGAGGTGCCTTTCACAAGTGATAAGCCGGGACAAGAGAGGGTACCACCCCACACCTTGAGTTTTCAGAGTGGTCAAGCTTTATGTGAAGAGGTGCCTACCACAAGTGATAAGCCGGGACAAGAGAAGGCACCATCCCACACCTTGATTTTACAGAGCCCTCCAGCTTCATGTGAAGAGGTGCCTACCACAAGTGATAAGCCGGGACAAGAGAAGGCACCATCCCACACCTTGATTTTACAGAGCCCTCCAGCTTCATGTGAAGAGGTGCCTTCCACAAGTGATAAGCCGGGACAAGAAAGGGTACCACCCCACACCTTGAGTACACAGAGAGGTCCAGCTTCATGTGAAGAGGACAAGCCTACACAGAGCTAGTGATAAGCAAGGACAAGAGAGGGCACCACCCCACACCTTGTGATAAGTACACAGAGTGGTCCAGCTTTATTTGAAGAGATGCCTTCCACTAGTGATAAGCAAGGACAAGAGAGGGCACCGCCCCACACCTTGAGTTTACAGAGCCCTCCAGCTTCATGTGAAGAGGTGCCTTCCACAAGTGATAAGCCGGGACAAGAAAGGGTACCACCCCACACCTTGAGTACACAGATTGGTCCAGCTTTATTTGAAGAGATGCCTTCCACTAGTGATAAGCAAGGACAAGAGAGGGCACCACCCCACACCTTGATTTTACAGAGCCCTCCAGCTTCATGTGAAGAGGTGCCTACCACAAGCTCCAGCTTCATGTGAAGGGGTGCCTACCACAAGTGATAAGCCGGGACAAGAGAGGGTACCACCCCACACCTTGAGTTTTCAGAGTGGTCAAGCTTTATGTGAAGAGGTGCCTACCACAAGTGATAAGCCGGGACAAGAGAAGGCACCATCCCACACCTTGATTTTACAGAGCCCTCCAGCTTCATGTGAAGACACTACCATTACTGGTGAACAGTCCCCAGAGTCTTCATTACCAACTTCATCTACCCTCTCTGCTAGAGATGAAAAGTTACTTAAAGACCTCATGGAATATGTCAATTTTAGCAGTGATGAGGATGATGATTGGATTGATGAAATGGAATTGGATTCAGAGTTTATTCCTTCAGAGTCAGAGGAAGAAGAGAGTACTTCTGATGAGGATATATCATCCTCCACGTGTGTTAAAGGTGTTAAAAGAAAGAGTTATGAAGATGATGTGCTTATTTCATCTACAACAAATAAGGGCATTGACAAGGATCTTGTAGAGAATTCTGACAGTGACGTGTCTGAAGAGATCCCTTACCTTCCACCATTAGGTCCATTATGTAACCCACAGTCCAATGAAAATGATGCATCTTCTTCAGAGTCTGATAGTGACATAGACATTGTTGAGGAGGAAATTATCAGAGATATTACTTATCCCTCAATCTTTATTAGAAAAATCATCTCTTCAAAAACAACAAAGTCTGGAAAATTTAAAAAATCTGACCGTGTTTACAATACTAGACACTTCTGCCCATTTTGTTACAAGTCAGTATCAAATTTCATACAACATTTGAATTCAAAAGCACATAGCAAGGAGACAGAAGTTGTTAATCTCAAAGCCCTAGTTGGTAAAGAACGCCAGAAGAACATCTCAATGTTGAGAAATAAAGGTGACCATCTGCAAAATGAAAAAACAATATCAAAGAAACGAGGGGAGATGGTACTTGCAAGAAGAATAGGATCGAATGAAAATTTCAACAGTTTGAACTATGGCCCATGTCCCTTATGCTTAGAGTGGCTTAAGTTGGATACTTTATACAGACACCAAAATAAATGTTGTGCCTTATCAGCTGATTCCAGCTCCTTTACCTCCAAGGGTAATATAATGGTGCAGAGTGCAATGATTGCTGGAAGACTTAAAGAAACTGCTTGTAAGTCACTTGTCAATGAAGTATTCCCAATCATGCAGGAGGATAAGATTGGACAGGTAGCAAAAAATGACAATCTGATTTTAGCTTTAGGAAATCACTGGCACAAGAGAAATATTGGCAATAAACTAATGAGGAAACATTATGTATCGGCTGTTATGAGACTAACAAGTCGCCTTCTGATTGAAACCAGAAAAATTACACAATCAGAGCAAAGATTGGAGTATTACCTTCAACCGAGATATTTTTCCGAGGTGGCACATGCAGCGTTAAAAGTAGCGAAACAGGATGATGACAATGACGAAAATTTACAGGCCCCTTCAAATGCCATCAAACTAGGTTACCATTTGAAGAGATTATGTAATTTGAAACTGGGCTTAGCAATTAGACAGGGAAATGATGACCAAAGAAGAGCATCTAAAAACTTCTTGAAGCTTATGGAGTTAGAATGGTGTTCAAAACTTGCTAGAGTCAATCTCGAAGAAAGAAGAAGAAATAAGAAAGTTGAGCTTCCTCTACCTTCAGATGTGAAAAAGCTTTCGGATTACTTGAAGACAGAACTAGAATCATTCGACAAAGGAAACCTCACTTACGAGAATTTCAAAAAGGGGTCGACACTGACTGAGGCAGTACTCATCACCTATAACCGGCGGCGTCCAGGGGAAATTCAAGCAATGAGGTATTTTTAAGGCTATTAATCAAATTTATAAATATCTAATTATAATACAATATGGATTTACTCCTTGAGTTTAGGTGAAAATATGTTTTGAAGACATTATCTTTATAAAAGTATAAATAAGTCTTGTTACTTCTTGAAGTCAGATTGATGAAGAGGCATGTAACTGGGTTTTTTCTGAAGGGATATGATATTAATTTTTTTTTGTAAGATTATTATATTATACTGTGTTGACGTAATCATTGATTTGTCAGGTTGGTGGATTACCACAACAGGAAGACTGGAATAGATCCAGGTGTTGGAGGAGAAATAGTGAAATCACTGTCAGAATTTGAAAGAAAACTTGTAGAAGAACAAGATGTGATTGAAATAAGGGGAAAGGTTAGCAACTTTTACATGCATATGTAAGCTGTAACTAATTTTTTTTAGCATTTAAAAGTATGTTGTGTATTAAACAATTATTTTGTGTAGGTATTTTTTTTAATTTTTGCTGTTGATTGTTCTGTTGTAGATGTAGACAAATACATGTACCTTAAGACATTATTCTTTTGGAAGTAAATGCACTTAATATATGTATCATGCAATCTTATGCATTTAATCTTGATCTTTGTATTTTCTATTAGTGTGGAAAATGTGTACCAGTGATCATTCCAAAGTATGTACGTGGAGTTCTGGCACATCTATGTAATCAAAGTGTAAGAGCAGCTGCAGGAATACCAAGCTCAAGTGTCTATATCTTTGCAACAAACAGTGAGTTTATAACAAATTACAGTTGATCTGGCATTATCTATATATTTACAAATGATCTGGTAATCTCTTTATATATTTTGTATACTACACAATTACAGATCTGTTTATTCTTACGATTTTCAGTGTATTTTGTACTGATTTTAAGTTCAAAACATGTCTCATGGTTTGCTAAAGTGATTTTAACAACTAGTTTTCATTATGATCTGTCTGTTTGACACTTTCTGATCGCTAAAACAAGAGATAGATATCAAACATTTAAGTGATGTCATGTGGCCAAAATGCAGCGGTTTAAAAAAAATCAGAAATGTAATTGTTCTTTATTGATATGTATAAAATGAAATCTTACTTGCAAATGCCAAATCTTGCTGACAAATCTAATAAAAAATACTGAGAGACAGTAATATGGGTAAACAGTTCTGTAATTATCATAACCTCATATCAACTAGAAACTAAAGGAGTTAGATTTAAGTATTTGAAATACAGTTTTACTTTGCATCATGAAAAAATTTTGGTAAGATGGGAGAAAAAGGTTCTAAATGGGGAAAGATGCCTTAAATTTTCTTTCAACCTCTATGTCTTCAAATGACAGTTAATGCTTTTGATCCTGTTATAATTGTCAAAGAAAAAAAATGGAAACAAAATACTGAAACATTCATTCCTGATTATGCCATCATTGAAATTGATGAAAAATAAATATTGTTTGTAGGGGCAGGTGTTGTTAGGGGATATGATTCTGTACAATTTGTGACGCAGAATGCTGATCTTCAATTTCCAGAACGCATAAGAGGAACAAACATGAGACGTCTCATGGCAACATTATGTCAGGTAAATTTAGTTTTTATCCTTTTTAACATGCAATTAAATGAAACACCCTACTTAAACCAAGTTTTGTGCAAATGATTGTTGACCCACTTCCCCACAGTCAGGCATTTGATAAATATACCATTCCCTATTTCTAACGCAAAATCAGGCATATACCGTTTCCCCGCAATCACACATTTTTACGCTCTTTAAAATGTTCATTTAATATTCAATTATTGCCAGATTCCTTTTATTTTATGCTTACAAAATCTCATAAAAAAAGGAAAGTTATTTTCTTATTAAAATATGATGTCATATTATTATGTACACTAAACTTTAGAAAAACTTGTACCAAGTGCTTGCGGGATATTAGGTGTATGTTGCATTTTAACAATTCAGTAAGTTATAAAGAGTTAAACGTAAGACTCGGATTTGTATACTGTTCTGCAATTATAACCAGTTTCTGTCTTGTAAAGGTTTAAATACAGAATTTATGTGTCTTTTTCTTTAGGCCTTGGATGTGACACCTCAACAGCAAAAGTGGATCATCGATCACATGGGCCATACTTTAGATGTGCACAACATTCACTATAGATGTACATCAGATATCATAGAGAGATCAGATATTGCAAAATTATTAATGCTTATGGACAGGAAGCAGGTTGGATACTTTAAAAACAAAAGGTTGGAAGAAATAAGCTTGGAAGGTAAGTGCTCTGCATTTGTTTCATTTTATTCATAAAACTATAGAAATTATCCCATACATGTATTCAAGTTCAAATAAATACCAACTATACATGAACATATATTACTTATTTCATTATTGCTTACTCTTATTAAAAAAGGATAATGTTCAAAAATATGATCAAACATTTTTATTAAATAAAATCATTCTTTCAAATCATAGAATTAATTGAAGAACCAGATGAAGCAAATGACACTGTTGATGAGAATGATGACAGATTCTTGAACACAGATGACGGTGAAAGGCAGGAAGAAGAAGAATTCATCCCAAACCTGTTGGAAGATGAAGAGGAAGAAATTCCAGTCAGTAAGTAATATAATCCTTGGTGAGAAATATTTGGCCTAAAAAGTCATTTTTATTAATAGTTGTTTTTCAATACTGGTACAAATTTTGAAGAATTTTTTTTTAGTTAAATGAATTTAGCCAAACAAACCATCATATTATTTATTTTAAAAAGCTGCATGCATAATTTGAGATTTCAACAATCTTTGAAATATGGACTTTTTATGCCTCCCTTTGAAGATGGGAGGGCATATTGCTTTGCTGCTGTCTGTCTGTCGTCCGTCGGTCTATCGGTCCACTTAGTTTCCGTTCATTTTCTTTGCAACCGTTGCACATACTGAAATGAAATTTGGTATACAGATATATCTCATGAATATCTAGGTCAAGTTTTGTTTCGGGTATGATCGCCCCATTTTTGACAGAGTTATGCCCCTTGGACTTAGTAAAATTCCAATTATTTGCAGTTTCTGTTCATTTTCTTTTCAACCATTGCACATACTTAGATGAAATTTAGTAGTATAAGTTCTGGTTTGGGTAAGTTCGAGCCATCTTTTAAAGAGTTATGCCCCTTGGACTTAGAAAAATTCCAATTATTTGCAGTTTCCGTTCATTTTCTTTGCAACCGTTGCACATACTGAGATGAAATTTAGTATATGTATACAGATTTATCAGATGAATATCTAGATCAAGTTCTGTTTTAGGTATGATTGCACCATTTTTGACAGAGTTTTTCCCCTTTGGACTTAGAAAAATTCCAATTATTTGCAGTTTCTGTTTTTTTTCTTCACAACCGTTGCACATGCTGAGATGAAATTTAGTGTACAAATTTATCAGATGAGAATCTTTGTCAAATTCTGTTTTGGGTATAATCCTGCCATTTTTGACAGAGTTTTGCCCCTTGGACTTGGACAAATTTCAATTTTGGGGGAGGGGGCATAAGTGTTTTACAAAAATCTCTTGTTTGGATATGTTTTCAATCTTTGTGTGTGTGTGGGGGGGGGGGGGGGGGGGGTAGTATTACTTTAACATTTATAAATTTATTTCATATGTGCTTTTTCAGATGACTGTTAATCCTATTGGCCTCATGTTTTTCTTGCTGGTAATCATTGTCTGCAAAATTTTAATACATTGTTCTGTCAAAAAATTTGTTACAGAGTCAAGGAAGAAGAAAAAGGCCAGTTTTACGAGGAAGAAATGGACAGTAGCAGAAGAAGAAGAAATAAATAAGAGGTTTGCAGGTTTTCTTGCACGAGATAAGTGTCCTGGTCAAAAAGACGTTGAGAAAGTGATGGCCCAAAGCAAGAAATGTGGTGGTCTACTGCATGCACGACCAAGAGACAATATTAAGAAAAAAGTCAGCTGCATGCTGGTTAAAGCTAGAAAAAATAATAATGATTTGTAATGATGTAATTGAATCATTCCGAAAAATACCTCATATTGCATGTGAAAAGAGCTTTAAGAGTTATTCTCTATACCAAGGCGCTTTAAACTTATTTGTATTTTTTTCCATATTGTTATGTTACCAAAGATTAAGGTTATTGTATATATTCAATTTGTTCAAGGGTTGTGTTAGATTCTTTGTAAAAATGAAAGAGGTATATCTAGACTTTTAATTGACAAAACCAAATGGAAGTTACAATTCAATATTATAATTAGCATTGAAAACGCGATAAAAAGTTCCCATTATTTCAAGTACATGTTTAATGCGAAAAAATAGTCAGTTTTATGTATTTTTGTTAAATAAATGATCAGTTGTTTTGACCCATCTTTTAGTATGATCACCTATAATTGTGACCAACTTTCACAAATATTAAAAACAGAGAAACTCGAATTCTTCTTTCAGTTCAACATGTGTGAAAATATAGTGAATATTTTTTTCACTTCTTGTTGACCAGGAAACTACTTGATTGTTTACTTTTGCTCACTGATTACTGTAGTTATTAGCACTGGTGATGATTATTGCACTTCCTGTTCATTACATATTTTTGCTGTTTTGGTTTTGTACATGTACAAATGCATCATTTCTGAAAGATAGTACATGTACTATTAAAAGTAAAAATGGTATTTATTACTAGATTTAAAATATTTCATTTTAACTTTTTGACTTGCACTTACTTTTGATAGATAATATCATTTTTTTTTAAATTGTCTATATTTAGAATAACACAACAAAAACTTGGTAGAAGGTTATTCAAGGAAATAGTCCGAAATACCCTTACATCATGAATAGAATTTTTTTGAAGAACAAGACTGTGGAATAGTTGAAAGAAAACAACAATGCAGTATTGCCACATGTACATTTTTTTCATGTGTTCATGACATCCTTTTAATGTGCTCTCTTAAAAGATGTTATATCATCTGCTATTAACACTTTCAACATGTTCAAATTATGCTACTTTTATTGATGTTTTGGGAAGAAAATTTTATCAATAGATTAGAACTAGAGTACACAAACATTTTATTCAATAATTGGTTAAAATATTAAAGATATGTTTATCATGATGGAAATAATGATTGAAAAGAGATCATATTTACCATAAAAACCTGGTTTTTGTAGATCTTGATAATGTGACCTTAAAATATTTAATTTTTAACTAAAGAACACTTTTTCATTCATAATTATTAATGTTCATTGCGCTTTCATCAAAGGGATGAGAAAGTGTTTTGCTCATTATGTTACTTGTATGCTCGCATGCATAATTTGTAGAGATATACATTAAACTATTAAATTATGTGAAAATTATGTATTGTGTTGTGTCAAATATGTGGATGCCATATTCTTTTCACGCAAACGATAGAGGGACAATAAATAGGAGACTTAACATGGAGTCATTTCCATTGCTGTTAACTTCGTTATGGACAAAGAGTGGGATAAATTCTTTGTATGAAAAAAATAATTGTTTTGCACAAAGTCGAAAAAGTATCAATTTAAAGAAGGATATGAAATGGGAGAATTCATCGTGGAAAGTATTGCTACAACGGCGTATTAGTGCCATTTTAACATTGTAGAATTTTTTTAAAAATCGTTTGTATGATTTAGTAAATCATTTGCACAATATAGTAAATCGTTTGTATGATTTAGTAAATCGTTTGTACGATTTAGTTATTAAAATCGTTTGTACGATTTAATTAATCGTTTGTACAATTTGTTTGTTAAATTGTTTGTACAATTTATAAAATTGTTTGTACAATTTAATAAATTGTTTGTACAATTTAATAAATTGTTTGTACAATTTAATAAATAGTTTGTACAATTTTATAAATTGTACAAACGATTCATTAAATCGTACAAACGATTTATTAAATCATACAAACGATTTAAAAAACAAATTCTACATTGTTAAAATGGCACTAATACACCGTTGTAGTACTGCACTAGTGTTGGATAAGTTTTTATATATATATATATATTAAAGAAAATGATGGAGGAAACACTTGGATTTAGAACTGTCAGCATTTTACTATACTGTTATACTTGAATAAAGTGATTCTCACCCACTGTGGTTTGGATCCAGAATGATTACCCCAAGTAGGAGTAAATAAATAAAATACTGATTTTGAATGAAAACAGGATCACAAGATTATTGAAGTTGCTAAATGAACATCCATTCTTTCCAATGTCAGTACGATGGGGACTTACCGACCCCATTTTTTTGCAAAGTTAGATTTAATTATCAGGAAGTTGCTTGTTGGAAGTCTGTGCAGATTTTTTTTATAATGTTGGTAGACCCCCCCCCTTCGCCACACACATACAATTTGCTTCTGACACATGTGCTATTGATGAAGTCAAATACATATAAAGCGTAAGGGGGTAGGTGGAGGGATGACTGTGAAAGAGAAATGAAATATTCAAACCTGGCAAAAAAGAGAAAAATTTTGCATTAGAAATCTCGAGTTTTTATTCAATACTTCTTTGACAAGCTGAATTTAAATGTGACTATTGTCCTACAACAAAAAAATTCACGGTGTAGGGGGGGGGGGGGTAGTCAAACTTCTTTCAGCACAAAATCTTTCTTTCAAACACCCAATTACCCTTCGACCTCGCTGAAACGTGCCTGTTAAAGGGGGTGGGGTGGGGTGTGTGTCAACTTACGCCACAATGTTTGATACCTAAATGATGATTGACCTTTGCAAAAAAATAAAGTAGGGGGCTAAGCCTCCCCTAGCCCCCACAGTTCTGACGACTATGAATCTGATTAACTTGATAATTTCAAATAAATTCCCCATAGTACAGACACAAAGACGGACATTTCATTTGTACCTACGAATGTGGTACCCATAATGAACAGACAAGAAATTTTCTTAATGACTAATTATACCGACAGAAAAATTCATACCCATATTGATTTTTTGTACCAACCATTCATTCCCCACAAAGTACAGACAGCAAAAATCCCACAATGTACCTTACCTTGGTCCGTCTGTCTGTCCGTAAACAATTTTTCAAAACGCTACTCCTCCTACAGTTTTGGTCTGATTTCAATATAACTTGGCACACAAGTAGACTACACTACGATACATAGAATAATGCATTGGTTTTTGATTTCGATGAACGGTGTTGCCATGGTTACTAAAAATAGAATTTTCTGTGAAATTACTTCAAAACGCTACTCCTTCTACAGTTTTGGTCTGATTTTAATATAACTTAGCACACAAGTAGACTACAATAAGATACATAGAATAGTGCATTGGTTTTTGATTTCGATGAACGGTTTTACCATGGTTACTAAAAATAGAATTATCTGTAAAATTCCTTTAAAAGGCTACTCCTTCTACAGTTTTAGTTTGATTTCGAAATAAGTTGGCACACAAGTAAACTACACAAAGATACATAAAATAGCGAAATGGTTTTTGATAAGTACAAACCAGTAGAGCTACAGTCTCGACAGAGACTTCTGGGTCAGATTTTAAACTCACACAATACTTAAAATTATTTAAAATACATACATACTTTATTCACAATGTTTGTAAGATGAATGCCAGTACACATTGGTTTATTAAATTTGAAGGGGCAACACGGTTTTATAGTTTCCAATAAGAATGGGATTTTTTGCTATCTTGTATGCATGTATATCATTTCTTTCTGAGGTTAAATACTGTTTACTTACTTCATTAAAAAGCAAAGAAAAGTAAAATGAAAACGGTATATATTCTTAATTCTATTGTACAGTTAAAATTAGAAGGGCCAAATTAAAACAACAATAAAATACAAAATTGCATTGAAAAATATATATTTTTAATACATACATGAACAGACTTAAAAATGTAAGAATAACCCACATCAAACATATGGAGAAATGGTGTTCATTCTGCTCATTTACATATTCGCCATATTGGAGCTATAATGGCGGCAGATTCTATAAAGGATTATATAGAAAACTAAATTTGCCAATTTTTATATTCTAACTTTTTCGGATAAAGTTTTTCTGCCGATCTTTTGTTTTTTCTTTATATCCTATACCGGAAAAATCAATAATGTTGATACCAAAGTGAAAGTTGCGACCGCCTTTTTGATTTGAAAATTCGAAGCGAGAGTACGTTGTTTTATCGAAGAAAAGAGAACTGAATCAGTGTTTTTATCATTGGTGATTAAATGTAAGTGTTTATTGCATAATGACAGAGTTTTTCCGCCGATTTATAGATGCAAACGAAGGTCTATTTCTAGAAAATATTGCTGTTATAAAATTGTACGAAGAGTTACGACCGCCTTTTAAAATTGAAAACGACAATTTTTAGCATTCGCCTGACCTACTAATTATTGAAACATATGGTATCATTAATTGCCACTGGCAATAACGCTAAATTCTACCCATTTAGATATTTCGAGTGCTTAAAGAAATTTAAATAAATAAAGACTTGCATGTTTTTATATTAAAAAAAAGAAATGTTCATGAATAAACTGCACGTCATTTCTCCATATGAAGTTTGTTTTTAATTTCCAGTAAAGGACTCTAATTCTTCATCCCAATTCTCTCCCTCTAATTGGAAATCTTTATATTGAGGGAGAGAAGTGTCACCCTTCTTTGCACATTCACATTGTTTTACTTTTTCGAATTCTTGAATTGGAGCACAGTATTTTGTCAGAAGTGGCTCCAATTCCTCATCCCAATTCTCTCCCTCTATTATGGGATCTTTATACGGAGGGAGAGAAGTGTTTTCCTTCTTTCTTTTTTTTTTTTTATTAAACTCTCCCATTCCAGCCACCCGTCGTGTCTTGTCTTATCCTCACAACGATGGTAATGTTCTGCACCTTCACCTCATAATTTTATGCGAAAAGTTATATTCACATGTAGTGAAGTCTTTGGTCGAAATATTTTTTGGCATTTTATTAGGTGGCGAGGTAATCTCCTTCGGACAACATGTGTTTTGTCATAGGGACAAAAAACAAGATAGCTGCTATCCATATATTGAGCCATTTTTTCTTTACAAAGAATATTCAATAAGTAAATGAGAGAAATTAACAGGTGATCCGCGGTGAGATGCTATATTTTCATGCATGAATTGTTGTCCATGAAATCTATACATTTACGGATAGATCACCCATTAACACTTTAAAACTTAATTCCTCTGAGAAGTTCCTAGCATGAAACAAAGGTTAATAATTTATAATTCCTAAGTTTATCCCCCTCCTCCCTTTAAATTGTTTGTGACGTTTATGAGAAAAGCGAAAGGAATATTATAGAAGTTTGGAGTTGCCCATGTTTGTCGGTACAAACAAGAGGCCCAAGGGCCTTGAATCGCTCTTCTGATAAATTGTACAACCTATCACTTGTATTTGAAGCCTCTAACCCTAAGTATCCTAAGACCAAAGTTGCACCACCTGACAAAGTTTGATGATCTTTAGCCAATAAGAACCACTTCTTGGTCTACATTCTTGGAAAACCCAAAATGCATCAACTTACACAATTTGATTATTCTAAGCCAATAAATACCAAAGATACTTAAATATAGCCATAAAATGTCGAAAGTAGGTCACTATGACCTACGTTTTGGTCGACATTCTCCGAAAACCCAAGATGCATCAACTGACAAAGTTTGATGATTCTAAGCCAATAAGTACCAGAGATATTTAAATATAGCCATTAAAAGTTGAAAGTAGGTCACCATGACCTACATTTTAGTCGACATTTTTCAGAGTCCAAAGATGCATCTGATGACTAAGCTTGATGATTCTAAGCCAATAAATACCTAAGATACTAAAATATAACCATAAAATGTCGAATGTAGGTCACTGTGACCTAATTTTTGGTCGTCACTCTCCCAAAACCCAAAATGCATCAACTCACTAAGCTTGATGATTCTAAGCTAATAAGTACCGGAAATACTTAAATATAGCCATAAAATGTCAAAGGTAGGTCAACATGACCTTATTTTTGGTAGACACTCTCCGAAAACCCAAGATGCATCAACTGACAAAGTTTGATGATTTTAAGCCAATAAATACCTAAGATACTAAAATATAGCAATAAAATTCGAAAGTAGGTCACTGTGACCTAATGTTTGGTCGTCACTTTCCGAAAACCCAAGATGCATCAACTGACAATGTTTGATGATTCTAAGCCAATTTGTACATGAAATACTTAAGACCAATTCTCTGTAATTATCAAAATTGGCTGGCCACGCATAGTTACAGATTCTGATTTTTCTATCATAATTTAATACAGATGTGTGAGTGATTGTTAAAACTATAAATAGATTTTTAATTTTAATCTTGGTTGCCATGGAAACGGAATAAAAAGTTTC